ACTCTCTTTATTTCATTAATTTGGTTGTTCCAATAAAAGTTTATTTGGCTTTTGAATGTGCATTTTAAAACAAAAAATATATACTAACCATCCAAAAAAGTAATATAATACACCTGACTTTCTAAGTAACTCATAAATAGGTTAAAAAATTTCATTATTAATTGAGCAGCATCTTTAGTCCAAATCCATCAAGCTCTCATAGTGAATGATCAGCTTCTAGTGTTAGAACTGAACAGATAATTGCATGATTTGCAGAGTGTAGAATTTGCTCTTTCAGTTGGCCACAAACATAAAGTAGAGAATTACAGACATTTCTGAAAGACAATATGGGAAGGGTATGGTTGAACAAATATAGTGATACGTCTGAGGTTGAAATTTTGTATTTTGATTTGCCCTTGTCTGTAACATTTGTTTCTAATTGGTTCAGCAGTATGAAACTTTTGTAAGCAAAGTAAAAAATTAAATAAATAAAAAGTCATTGTGCTACAAAGTCAAGTGACTCTGAGAGGTGGGAATTAATAATTTATTTAAATATTTTCTATTAAAATTAAAAATTAAATAATATAAAAATATGAATAATAAACTATGTTTTGATGCCAAGCTTATTGACATAAATTTATAATAAAATAGTTTAATTACATTTCAAATGTAACTCCTGTAAATTACAGTAAATAAATATCAAGTTACATCACATGATGTTAACATGTGTGCATTCCAAGAGTAGAATTTTTATTTCATTTAAGTGTTCTTATTTAACATAATAAGCTCTAATTTTTATACTTTACTCTTTTTACAAAATATAACAATAAATAAAAAATATAAATAAATACCAAAAAATGTTGCACTTTAGACTTGAGGTCTTTTGCACATAGGTGCATGATTTAGCAAGCATTTTTTTTTCTCACTATGATGGTTGCCCCAAAATAATTCACGTAGCTTTCAAATATGTATTTTAGAACATGAAAGATAATATCAGGCACTGGAGTAGAATGTCCCAAAAAGAATAAAGTTACCTAGCTTTTTAAATATGCCAGAATAAGGTTTAAAAATTTGTAAGCTCTTGTAACAAAGATTTATGAACACCAAAACCAAATACTTCCATTAATGAATGGTTTATATGGGAAGCCTAAGTGACTGCTGTCTAAGATATCTCTAGAGGAGAAAATGCCATTTCTATTGGCTATAAACATGTCCAGCAGCCTTCTAAGGACCATTATCAAAAAGTATAAAAAAGATGTATATGGGGTGGTGTTTCTCTGCTGGGTTTGACAAATTTATTGTTATCTCATGAATCAAGAAGGTAGGAGGGTAAAATTTGAGATTTGTGTTTCTAAGTGCTTAAATACTCAAAGCTGTGTTGGGGAAGATATAACATCCATAAAGGAGAATTCAGAATGCAGACAGGTCATGTGACACAGGGAAATGAAGATTGATAATTGTTTAAATATTTCCTTTTGAAATTAAGAAATTAAAACTTAGATAGTATAAAAATCTGGGTTATAAATTATACTTAGATGCCATGTTCATTGGCATATATTGATAATAAAGTTGTTTAATTAAATTTCAAATGAAACTGTAAAAGGTCATGACATGCACACTTTGACCCAGTTGTATGAAAAGAGTTAATTTGTTCTTTGGCTTCTTGCTTGAAAGCTTATGTGTTTTAAGTTGTAAAGTTGTTAATTATTTTTTACATTTTTCATATTAATGATGGAAGTAGAATGTCCGTAATTAGTGATACTTACTTATTACTGTGATTTTAATAGTTCCTTTAATACTTCAATTGCTGTGTAGAGGTAATCCAGTATCATCACAAGTTTTAATACCAAGTAATAAATATTATACTCTCTTTGTTATTTTCTATGATTGGTATAAATTTGTTTTCACTGAATGATATATGTTATTTATCACACATTCTGACAAGTATCTTTACTAGTTTTATCACCTGAAATCTAAAATCAAATATTTTTAATGAGGAATTAGTTTATTTAGTGCTCATGTGAAACATTTTAGGGAAAAACCCATTAAATGGTATTGATTGAATTTTCAGTTTGTTAAAGGTTTAGTATTGCATTTTATATATATATATATATATATATATATATGTGTGTGTGTGTGTATATAAGTATATAAATACATGATACTGTTACGCCTCCGTTCGTTAGTTAATTTTCAATAAAAATTCTTTCAGAAGAAACTTTAGCGATACAAGTCCTTTCTTAAATAAAACTGGTTTATTCTTTCTGAATACTACTTTGCAATACACTTAATTTCCACAGTCGCGCTATAACAAACGCTATAATTCACAAAGAAAGTCTCACATGCTCGACTCAACTGTCAATTACACAATGTTGCCGTCAGTTCTTGGCGGCTTATATATACAAGACTACCGCATATCTAGTAAAAGCTTGAGACTTCACGAACCTTCGAGAATATGACGTGTTACTAGTGTCACGTGACCCCCGCTGTCGTAACACTGCCCCTTCCTTAGTATTGTTCATCCCAAACAATAGCCACTTACATTAAACCAATAAACAATTAACAATAACTTAATTAAATGTACAGAATTTACAAACACAAAATCAAAATTCAACAAAGTCTCTTTATTTTTACGGGACGTATCTTCTTCCGTACTGGTCTCCATCTCGTTGGCTTCTGCTTCATGTGGGGTTCATCTGCTTCATCGGGAAACGTCCTATCATTGGTAACAGTCACATCAGTGGTAGTAACTTCATCAAGGGCTTCACTGTTTCCCTTCTCAAAACCGAATAGAGTTTCTTCTTCGACGGTGGCTTTTCCAGCTGACACGTCTTCAGCAGCGTCATTTGTTCCATTGTTCACTTCATCCCAACTGAAATGTCCTGGACCGTGATAACGCCAAAGCCTGTTGGCATGCACCACCTTTGGCTTACCTCGCCGACCACATTTTATCCGGAAAGTCACATCTGAGAGATGATCCACTATGTCATATGGGCCTTCCCATTGAGAAAACAACTTAAAAGACTTCCCTTTGGTCTTCCTGGGATTATACAACCACACCTTGTCTCCTGGTTCAAAACTAACTTCAGTAGATCTCTTATCATAAGGTAACTTCATCGAATCAGC